ATAAAAATGTTGAAAAACACTGGACCAAGCACAGACCCATGAAGGACACCACTGGCCACTTCTCACCAGGACAACAGATCTGTTCATTAGAACTTTCTCTGGGTTCTACCTCACAACCAGCTCCCTACCCACCTAACTCTCACAGTTAAGCCCACAATCCTCCAATTTTTTCATGAGAACTTTGTTGGATACTAGATCAAAGGCCTTTTGAAAGTCAAGGTGTACAATGTCAACCTCCTCTCTCTTATCTAGGTGGCAAGTTACCTGATCGTAAAAGGAGGTGAGGTTAGTAAGACAAGACCTGCCCATGACAAAAGCCATGCTGATGTCATTCAGAATCCTACCTTCTGCAAGCCTGTTGCATATAGACTCCATGATGAATTTTTCCAGGATTTTTCCTGGGATAGAAGTTAGGCTGGATTGGCCTATAGTTACCCAGGTCCTTCCTCCTCCTTTTCTTGAAGATGGGCACAACCTTGGCCGTCTTCCAGTCCTCAGGGACCTCTCCAGAGCACCATGAGTTTTGGGAGAGTTTCGCCGGAGGTCCCACAATGACTTCGGCCAGCTCCTTCAGCACCCTCAGATGAAGTTCATCCGGTCCTGCTGACGTGCATATGGTGTCTGATTTTTTTTTTTCAAATGTTCACATACCAGTTCTACAGTAATAGTAGGAAGGCAGTCATTCCTACCTTGCTCCGTCTGTACCCAATCTGGAATGATTTTGCCCTTGGCCTGGTGAAAGACTGAAGCAAAGTAGTCATTCAGGAGTTCAGTTTTCTCCTGAGTTGTTGAGCAGTGGCCCCACACTCCAATTTGTTTTCCTCCTATTCTCTACATACCTAAAGAGAAGGACTCCTTATTGTCTTTGACTCCCGTTGCTAACTTTAGTTCAAGCCGCCTTAGCCCTTCGAATCTGTTCCCTACAGGTGCAGGCCATTGTTGAATAGTCCTCTCTGGGGCATGCCCCAAGCTTCCATTGTTTGTATGCCTCTTTCTTAAGAGGGCTATGATATCCTTGTTTAGCCAAGAGAGCTTCCCAGTCCTTTTTGTTACTTTTCCTCTGTGTGGGAATAGATTTCCTTTGTGCTTTGAGGATTGTGTCTTTAAGGAATGACCACTCTTCATGCACTCCTTTCACCTTCAGCCCCCAGTCCTGCTAGTGACCTGAGTTTGTTGAAATTTGCATTTTTTAAGTCCAAAACTTAAGTCCTATTATCTAATTTGTCTGCCTTGTGACGGACAGTGAACATGATGATTTCATGGGTGCTGTCACCCAGGCTACCTTCTGGTTTTAAGTTGGTCACCAAGTTGTCCCCCTTGGCTAGGACCATGTCTAGAATAGCGTTACTTCTGGTTAGCTCGTGCACTTCCTAAGCCAGGAAAAGCTCTTTGATGCAGGACAGGAAGGAACGCAACTGATCTGACTTGGCTGAGTGTTCCTGCCAAGAGATATCTGAATAATTGAAGTAATCCATGACTGCCATTTCCTGTGCTCGTTCAGCCTCTGCCAATTCTCGGACATACTCTAGATCAAGTTTCTCCCCCTGGTTTGGTGGTCTGTAGTATATACCTACAGTTAGGTCTCTCTCGCCACACCTTCCCCTCACCCCCCTGCAGTTTGACCCAGAAGGCTTCAAGCTGTCCTTTTTTGGAGCCGATGTCAGCCTCCAAGGAGGTGTACTCTCCTTCACATAGAGAGCTACACCTCCACCATTCTGTCCTACTTGGTCCCTTGTATGAAGAGCATAGCCCTTTATGGCTACACTCCAGTCGTGTGAGGAGTCCCACCAGCTCTCCGTAATCTGTACTAGATGATAATGGCCACTGGAGAGCAGGAGGGCTAGCTCCTCTTGCTTGTTCTCCATGCTCCTGGCATTGGTGTATAGGCACCTGAGGCCTGCTACTGAGGCCCTCAGCTTCCTGTCACTGATGGAAAACTACTCCCTCAGCTCCCGGGAGTGTGGGTCTTCTAATGGCCCTATCTACGGAGCTTTCCTGTATGTTGATCCCCGGGCATGCTACCATTAGTGTTTCCCCATCCCCCAGCAAACTCAATTTAAAGCCCTATCTGGAAGATTGGCCATCCTGGCTGAGAACAGGGACTTGCCTTTCCGTGTGAGGTGGAATCCAAGAATCTAATGTATTTTTATTAATGATACACTGATACTGATCTGATACTGGACTGATGTACTGATATAAAGAAAATTGGCTGTATTGGAAATTGGCCCAATGCCAATAAATGCCTGTGCATGCAGCTGCAGCGCAGCACTTTGGCAGCGAGGAGCACAGCCCAGCAGCGTGGAGAGCTGCCTCCAGCTGGTGAATCCGCAGCTGCAAGAGCCACCTCTTCTCCCCCCCCCCAAACAAGCCATGGGTCTGTCCCATGCTGTGCCCCAGCTGGGCAGTGCCTGCCCCTGTCCCCTCCCTCACTGTGGGGGGGCAGGGTATGGGGTTTATCTGCCCCCTCCCCTTCCACCACAACGGAGTTACCAGCTAGAGGTAGCTCTCCACACTGTATCAGAAATTGGATCGGTATTGGCCGATATGTCTCCTTAAAAATCGAATATCGGTATAGGCCCCAAAAATCTCTATCTGTGCATCCCTAATTTTTATCTCCTAAACTCGTTTGTTATGGTGCCTATAACATGCCAGGAGCTTAAGGAGCAAGTATAAAGACAGGCATTATCCCACAAGAATTTGGGAGCCTCAATTTTACGAAGGAGTGAATTGTTATAGATCCTTAAGCCCAGGGTCAACAACATATGGGCTGCAGACAGGTTCTGCGCACTGCATGCAGCATGTGGGGCTGGGGCCAGCCTGAGTAGCCTGTGCCAGTCTACAACCCAAAGGCATAGCTATGGACTGGATGTTAAGACTCCGTGGACCATATATTTGACCCCTAATGTAGACCTATTTATTTGCTTCCCATTTTGAAATTGGGATTAACAAGGAAACTGCTGAGATCAAAATGCTTTACGATATACTGACAAGTGCATTATTAATATTGATTAGGATGTTTTCAGAATTTGGTCTATGCTTTTTTTTCTTAACCTTTGATCTTCCTACAAGAAGTTCTAAAAATATTAGAAAGTTTTATCCAAGAGCAATTGAATTCTTATTGGCCAAATTTTGAGATGGGGCGGGGGGGGGGGGGGAATAGTTGCCTAATGCACAGCTTTTGAAATTATGCTAGAAACAATATTCCCACATATTTACATCAAGTTTAATGTTCACAATTTATATACATGTAGATTAGATCTGTGTCTTGGAAGATTGGGCCAGAAGTTCAAGCACTAGCTTGTGTTGTGGTGAAAGCTAGGTTCAATTCCAGCTCTGCCACAAGCGCCCTGTATGACCTGACAAGCTTCTGTGCTTTAAAGACTCTTCATTAAAAGCGTCTGTTTCTGCCTTATGAGTGCTGTGTGGATAAATGTGGCTATAAATGATAAATAAAAGATATCAGATTCACCCAAAGAACTTTGTCTACTTATGTCCTTAGACCAACACAGCTACAACCTACATCCGTATTGTCTGAATTAGTCTCTTTTTCCATACTAAATGTGGGTCTGAATAGAAGTTATTTTCTTCCTTTCTGTGTCTCTCTCTCCAGTGGCCTGCAGTCTGAGAATCCTTCAGGGATTGCTGCTTTGTCAGAATTCGATGTCTTAATAAAAAAAGCTCTTGGGATGTTTGTTACCAAATACATATCTACCTCTAGATTTAATTTTCCTTTGCTATCTAGTGTGTTGAACACTGAGAGGAAGGAGTTATTATATTCTGATTTATTGTGTGCCATCAGCCAACTTTGAGGCCTTGGACAAGTTAGTTTAGCTGTCATATTGATACAATGAAATTACTTTAAACTGCATATTTAGGGTTTCATTTGAATTAATTTGTAGGACTTTGTAATATCAAGTATTATGTATAAAGGCTAAATATTTTTTTTTTTAAATGTACAAAAGTAATTTTCTACTTGGTATGCCTGCTCTACTTCTGGAGTTGTGTGTCCCCCAAGAAACTCGTGCTGAGCTCAAGATTGCACATAAAACAGCTTATTTGGGCTCTTAAACAGCTTTCACTTAGCTTTTTCTTTTTCTTTTTAAGACTGTCAGGGTTGCTAAAGCATTACATTAGCTTGAATACTCTGGGAAAGTTTAATGTAATTCTGGGTGTGTTGATTAGTATTTTTTTATCTTACAAAATGGTGGCGGCCTCTTCCCTTATTCTTATAAAGGACAACACAACCCAATGTCATCAGTCCCACTACTGCTAGACAAACCTGCAATAAAGCTCTGTGTGTGTGTGTGTGTGTGTGTGTGTGTGTGTGTGTGTGTGTGTGTGTGTGTGTGAGAAGTACTTCAGTAAGATGGGTTTTCATTGTGAATTATCCATATGGTATTACAAAAGAGTCTGATAATGCTTTTCACTAAAAGAGACATTGAAGAGTTAGTTTAATTCTTAAAGATGCAAGTTTGAAGGAAGGACAAAAGAGGAAGGAAGGTCATTCAGCTAACCTGGGTGGGAGTTCCAGGCATAGGGAATAGTGTGGAAAAAAAAATGAAGACAGAAGTAGAAGGATTATGAAGAATAATTAAGGAGCGCTGGAAAGTGATGGGGATACAAAGTAGAAGGCATCTGAACAAAACACGCACACATTCAGGGTGTAGTTGTACAAGTTTTTTCAATGTGAGGACAAGGATCCTGGATGTTGATGTGAAAAAAAGGAATTTGTGAAGGATTTAGAAGAGGAAAGTGATATGGTCACAGCCTTGGAAATTGAAGATGAATTTTTTGCTATGGTGGATAGGATAACTTTGAATGTGTGGAAAGGTGTCATCTAAAACTTCTTTTCCACAGGCATGTGCTAATGTTTCCTGATTTTGAGAAGTAAAACAGCACCCCCATGAAGGATTCAAATCTGTAATGTTTGTAGAGATTAAAATAATCAGTCATTAAAGAGAATAACTTCCTTGATTTTGATTCCTATGAATCTTCTTCAGGATTTGGACACAGAAGAGCAGAAATCATCCAGCAGTCTGAATTACCTTTCCATCACTGAGCAGATAAGCTTTACTGAAGAGGAAGAGGCTCCAAATGGGAGAAAAAAGGTTAAAGTGGACACTAATACAAGAAGCAGTTTAACAGCGAAAGAATCCGTTTCTGCGAATAGCATAAACTCACCCCTTAACAAAAATACACAAGATACAGCCGCATTGATGGATGACAGTAGACTAGACACAGAGAGTGAGCCAGAAGAAGGTGAAATTACTGACTCTGAATATGAAGAATATAGCAGTGAAGACAAATTAACAAGTGAACAAAGTGTAAATTCAGAAGACTCTGAAAATGAAGGTGAATCATTATGGTTTTTATATAGAGTTCCTGTATATTTAAAAAATCCAGTAAATAAACTATAACAAGTTACAAGAAAATTCCTAAGTGACTCATAAGAATAAAATTGAAAATAAATTGCTTGAGATTCTTTTGACTTAAAAGCTGGTGTCTTCACAGAAATATATAAAATTAGCCAATACTTGTATACTTTCTATTACTTTTTCTTTCACTATAGTACTAAAAAACGGATAACGATCTTGTTCTTATGGAAGCTCTTGCGTATATCTGTCATTTGGGGATATTAACATGATGCTCCTTTTCTGCTTACATAGAAACTTTTTGAGACCCTGAATATTGCTTGTTTAGGGAGAATCGCACCACTCTATTGCTCTAAGACTGGGAAGTCTACAGATAGTTTCATTTTATTCTGTATTCTTTTTCTCTGTATGCTGCCCTGGAGATCACAGACCTGTGCTTAAAGTGATTTCTGGGTTCTGTTTTTCAGTTCACAAATAGAACCTCTCATCAATAATCATTCCCTTTTAATTTCATACACCTGTTAAAGGTGAGGTTCACCTCTGGTAAAAAGTAAGGCAGGATAACCTCTTTCTGTTTTTAAAAAACGATAAGTTTTTAAGCCCTTCCATAATACTTGAAAATTCTACCTTTTGTGTGTTTCAGTGGCCAGTTACGGTGTGTGGCTCTTATCGGAGACCTGTATACCCTTTTCTAGCAATAGGGACAACATTAAAGATGCTTTCTAAATAGCATTGAATAGAGGTTGGCAGTGGGGCAGTCCTGCCTTTATGCAGACTGCTGACCCATATGCATTGTGGAAAAGGGCCTGAGTATTTTGCAGATAATGTTCCAAGGTATAAATAGTAGTACAAGGGGACTGTACTGTAGGCCATGGCCTGGTTACAATTAGGAGAATTTCAGCTCTCTCTAAAATACCTTTTATGTCAGTTATGTAGGCTGCTTACAGACATTTTAAACAACAAATAGCTGTAGATGGAGGTTCTGTGGTTAAAGAATGGTATCTGGGTACTTTAATAACCTTGTGACATCTTAATTAGTTTTTTTTCTTCTTTTATTTAAAATGTCTGATAGCTATCAATTTCTGCGGTACCAGAGTAATAAAGGAAAACAGCAAGCCAGATCCGTCCTTATTTACACCCGTACAATACAGTTTTCCCATTGCACCTTCACTTATACCATCTCAGCATCAGTATAACTGTGTTTTTGTATATGTATATTAAGGACAGAGTATACCCCAGCAGTTAGGATTTTATTAAGAGATCTCTTGATGCATGAGAAGAAACAGAATGCAGTGCTTAATCTGTAGATGTAATGGCTTTGTAGTACTGTTAGGAGTAAAGTATTTAATATTAAATACTAAGTTTTAGCCACTGCAGTAACTGTATATAATGCTGAATGCACCCAAGAATCATGTTGAACTAAGAAGGTACTATTTTTTAGATAAGTCTGTTCAGAATAAAACTTCATTTAACAAGACTTTTTTCTTGTTTTTATCTCCATCTTTATCTGTAATGTCCCATAAATTAAGAGTATGTAAAAGCATTTTATACACATGCTCCAGGGGCATGGGGCTTTTGGAGCCACTCCAATTAAAGCACCACGAGTGGCATGTGTATCAGCATCCCCATACTGAAAAAGAGCAGCTGGGGTGCCTTTAACTAAAGCTTGTTGAATGAACTTTAGTTAAAGCGTCTCCCGCTGCCACTTTCCAGCTCAGGAATGCTAATAAATGTGACGCTTGGAATCTGCTGGAGCACAGTAACTTAACTCAATCGCTGCACGAGTATAGGTGCCCTTAGTGGCTGCTGTAAAATTATGCTTACTATAGTAATTATATGTATTTTAGTATATGCAAATAATTAGAGTAAACTAGTGAATGCAGAAGGGGAAAAATGATAACGCAGTTTGGTCTGGGAACAGGTAAATAAGCCTTTGAAAGAATAATTTAATCATGTTTTTTCTATCAAATATACTTGTACATTTCTGTTTTAAGAAATGACCCAGAACTTTTCCATATTACTCCCATTGATTACAAGTTAGGTTTTTGTGGCCAAATCCTTTATAGTCATTTGAAAATTGAGTGGACTGTGATCACAGTTTTCATCTTTGGTTTTACTAATATTATTTTTTTTAATGGATATAGATGAAGAAAGAATCTGGCCTCCCTGTATCAGAGTAATTGTGATTAGATCACCTGTACTACAGACTGGATCGCTTTATATTATCACAGCTGTGAAGCCTGCTACAATCGGAAGGTAAAATTGACTGGAATTTATTACATACATCTTGTCTCATGCCTAACTTTGAAGAACTGTAAGATTAACTGTTAGTTTCTGTTTGTTGTCTTACAAATTCTGAGGTTTTGAACAGTATTAACCGGTGAGATTGTAAATGACATTAGCATTCTTTAAGTGCAAGGAAATCAGTGAAAACTATTCTCTTATAGGAAGGTAAAAAACTTTTTCTGAGTCGCTGAATGCCTTTTTCCAGAGTAAGAAGAAAGACTTCTGAAAATCAGGACAGAATAAAGTATAACTAGTCTCTTTGATGGAATCCTGGATCTTTCAAACTTTCAAATTCCAGGAGGTTTGACTGAGTCTTTCATCTTTCTAAAATTCAGAAATCAAGTTCAGTGATGTATTCTTCCTAGTTGTCTTGGATAAGATCTTTAAAAGTGTGTCTGCTTCTTGTGGACATTGAAGGCCTACTTGAATATGTTTAATGCAGGAGTAGTGGATTGCCCAGAATTTGTCAACATTTTTCCTCTTTCAGCTGTTATGCATCATGATATTTGTAGGTTGCAGTTATGCAGAGTACTGCGTAAGTGCTGATCTACAGACTGAATGCTGAGTTAATGGAATCTGCAAAATTCACCTTTGTATATTAGGATGGATGGAAATTCCTTGCTTTCTCTCTGGGTTTGGGTCTCATTTGCTGCAAGAGTACTCATCAGCTTCTGTAGCAGCCTCCAAGGTTGTAATGGGAAACTATTTCACAACTCATGCACCACAGTTCTGGCCAGTAGGTCCATAAAATTCATGGTTCCAGTGATCTCATCCGTTGCCCGATACTAAAAAGCATACTCTTCCCTTAAATGCTGCTGTATAGACATGCTGAAGAGCAGAAGTGGGATACAGGGTGCCCCTGTGTGGCGTTTCCACATCCTAACACTTTTTTTTTTGGGTGGTCGTGTGTCGTCATCCCCCCAGCCTCAACTTGTATGAAATTAAGATTTCTTCCTAAATGTTTAAGAGTAGAGATGAGTATTTCAAATGTATATAATTATTGCCTGCTACTTTTAGGTCCCTTGCAGATATTCATTTAATGATATAATGGGGTCTGATTCCTAATCCTGACAGTTGCACATCCTGCCATGCCGTATTTTGGAAATCGGCTCTCGTCAGCCTACAGTTGTGTGGCTCTGGAGTTGGTGTGGGGAGTTGGTTGTTTCTTGTATACTCACGTGTGCGCACACACTTCATATTGTATTAGATCGCAATCTGTATATTGGGGTACAATCTATAAAGTTTGTTTATTGTTTAGAAAGAAAACTTGTCATTAGGATTCATTTGAACTGAACTTTGATATTACTGGTTATTTTAAATTATTTTACTTCAAAAGCTTATAACTAATAGTGATGTAAAGTATCTCAGACTTCTCTGCTACTGTGTTGTAAAATTACATAATTGTACGTGACAAGAATCAAACTAACTATAAACCTATCTTTGTAGAGAGAGAGAAATGGGACATACGCTCCAAATTCCTGAGGTTGCAGTCAGTAAGGTAATTCACAGATTCTTTTGGGTTGTTCCCCATGGCAGGTCTGTACTGCCTAATCTACAGAATACACTTGTTCTTATGTTAACTTTTTCCTTAGGATTAGCCCACTGCCCCTTGCTGAGAGAGAGCAAGGGGAATTTTGTTGTTGTAAGTATGTCTTCATCGCAAAAGAGTTGTGGAGTTATGAACGGGGAAGTATGGGTTTTTTGGTTTTGGGGTTTTTATTCTTTTGCAGCAAAAGGTTGCTTATTTTTAAACTTTAAAATATTAGTTACTTAGAAGTGAAAGCATGGTTTTTACTTGGATCATTGCTGTTATGAAGGCCCATGTAACATGAGAGCTATATAACTAATTACCCTTTTGAAATAATGGCATTGATTTCATTCCACAAGGATTGAGGCAGAAATTAGGAGCCTTATAAATATTTTACAAGAGAGATCCTTTGGGTAAAGATTTGCAGTAGTGGACTGATATAATGGGCTTTTTGTTTTTGTTATTGTCTGTTTTAATTTTAATTATTTTTTACAATTTTTTTTAGCCAATACTTATGTTATATTTTCAGTAAAATGCACACAATAGTGTTTTTATGGCTTTTTTGCACCTTACAGTACTTAGTTGTATATTTAATAGTATACAAAAATTTGTCCTGTAATCTTGCATTAAATAGTATGTAAATTAAGCACTGGGCAATGGGGGGAAAAATTTCATTTCTTCTTTTAGTTTCATGCAGAAGTATACTTCAACCATGAATTGCAAAATTATGTTCTTGTGGATCAGGGCAGTCAGAATGGCACAGTTGTTAATGGAAATCAGATTCTACAGGTAAGCATTGTAATTCTTTATCATTAGGAAATATATCTATTGCATTTTAAAGCAAACTGTAGTCATAGGGTTAGTCTTTAAAAGGGGCTCTAGAAGAAGGGAATTAAAAGCTAGTAAGTTTAACTTCTGTTTACAGTAAATTTTAGAAACAAATCTAAAAAAAGGATTGTTCAATACATGGGTGAACTGGGCTTTCTGAGGAAATATCAGCATATTTTTATCTTTACCTAAGGGATGTCTTGCCTCACCAACCTGCCAGTTCTTTGAGGGTATCAACAAGCATATGGATCAGGCTCCATTTTAGTCTATATTTTGACTTTTAAAGTCTTTGACAATGTTCCACATCAGAGGTTCTTAGTGAAATTAAGTTGTCATGGTATTAGAGGGAAGGTTCACTGGTGGATCAGAAACTGGTTTAAGGAAGGAAAACGAAGAGTATAAGTGTTAGGTTCTCAGAAGGAAGTAAACAGTGGGGTTCCCCCAGGATCTGTGTTGAGACCACTGCTGTTTAATATATTCATAAGTAATTTGGAAAGGGGAGTGAAGAGTGAGGTGTCTAAGTTTGCAGATAACATAGAGAGAGAGGTAAAAAGTAAAATGGACTGCAAAGAGCTACTGAGGAATTTTGAGCAATTGAGCAAACAGGCAATATGAAATTCAGTGTTAATAAATGCAAAGCGATCCCCTCCCCCACCCACCATGTGGAATAACCCAAAATGTACATACATGATGACACTAACTGTTGCCACACGGGAAGGAGATTTTTGGATTCATTGTGGACAGTTTGTTAAAAGTATCAGCTCAGTGTTCAGCAGCAGTCAAAAGCAAATAAAATGTACGTGAGAGAGAAGACAAAAAGAGGGGATTGTAAACAAAACAGAAAGCCCCTCCCCTCCTCCCAGCAGCATACACAGTGCCATAGGATACTGGATTGACCCTGTGGCTTGGCCCAGTAAATGGCAGTTCTTGGGTTTATTTTACATTAAAATCTCACTTAAGTCATCATTGGCCACAGCTCCACATGCACTTTACTAAAGAGTAGACTGAGTGGCTGCAGAGTAGAGCATCACTGTCTACAAGTGCGACAGTATTAGGCTACAGTAAATTAATTTATGCCTCAGTAAGATAGTACTGTCCCTGTCAGGGATAGTACTGTTTTATGCTGGGGTAATTTACTGTATTTAAACATGTATAGATGCTGAGCGCAGGTGTAAGATGCTCCTCATTGGGACAGTCAGCTGGAGGCCAGACTTCTGCCTGCTGCCTAGCCACATAGCTCTGCGCTTCCAGCACCCTCATACCCCAGCCAGCCCCTCTGCTGCCCAACACTGCCACCCGGAGCAGAGCGGCCTTGGCGTAAATTGCTCCACTGTGGCTCAGATCGGTGCTCTCCAGGGTGCATGTATAGATGCTGCACCTGGGAGTTAGTTTACTCTGGCTCAAACTGCTTCAGAGTTTATTGCTTTGCATTAATTGCAGGTGTAGACACACCCACGGTCTCTTAATTAATGGTGTTTTTGCCATACATTATTAATTTCTCTGTTTATGCTCCATTTTAGGCATGCTTGTAATAAAACTTCATATTTAGCTTTGTAATAAGAATTGAGAAATCTGTTCCAGTTAAAATAGTTCAACTTCAGGGGCACCAGTTACGTTAAATATTATCTCAGTATCCACTAGACCAGTGCTTCTCAAACTATCTGATGTGGCGGACCAGCAATTTTTTTTCCAGTGGGCCAGGGACTGGTGCCCGGTTCAGCTGGTGGCAGCAACTGCGTGTAACAGCGCTACACAAATGCGCAACTGGCTGTTTCTCTTTCCTCACCTCGCGCGACATGACGTCACCTGGAATGTTGGAATGTACGAGCTATGGCGCTATGACATATCAATGTTATGCTTCCAAAAATGTTTCTTTCTTTCCTGGCAACTCGCTGCGGACTGGCAACCGGTGGCTTGCAGACTGGCACCGGTCCGCAGACCACCACTTTGAGAAGCAGTGCACTAGACAGAACTGAATGATATGTTAATGAGTAGTATGCATGGAATACACAGTGGTGATACTGCTGACAAAATTATTTAACCTTTTTTTTCTGTAGCCTAAAACAAAATGTGATCCCTATGTTCTGGAGCATGGGGATGAAGTTAAGATTGGAGAAACCGTATTATCCTTTCACATACACCCTGGCAGCGATACATGTGATGGATGTGAACCAGGACAAGTGAGAGCACACCTTCGCCTTGATAAGAAAAAGGAAACTTCTAGTAAGTGGGTGTTATTGCTAGATTGTGGGTTTTGACAGTAACTCTTTATAAAGTCAAGTGAGAATAAAATAGGGTATAAAATAGTAACCCTTTTTCTGAATGAAATAGTCTTGTTTCAAATAGGTTCACCATTATAATTTATTTTCAGTGTACTAAGTGCTGTGCTTTTGGGGGGAGGAAGTTAATACATACATAACCCTAGAAGAAATACTCATATAAATGAATACATTAAAAATTAAATTTATTTAATTAGCATTGTGTGCTTTGAAATCAACTTTTAATATAGATACTATGTTTCATTTATTCATATTATAGCTTTCAGTTTTTCTTGAAGGAATCTTAAGTGCTTTACATCCAGTGCCTATACTCAGTATTGCAGGGGTTTGGGATGTAGCCGTGTTGGTCTAAGGACATAGGCAGACAAGGTTCCTTGGGTGAATTTGATTATCTTTTATTAGACCAACTCAAATGGTTGGAGAATAGTTATTAAGCAAGCTTTTGGGTTCAAAAACCCTTCGTCAGGCTAAGGAAGCTGCAGCAGTTGGTGTGTGCTCTTCCTGGATGGAATCAAAAGTAAAGCAGCCAGGGGCTGGGCTGGGCTGGGGAGTCAGTTGCCAGGCAGATTATAATGTATCAAAAATCCAATGTCTATGTTTAGTCCATGTATACTCAGTATTAGTACTAAGTCATATTGGCAGCCTTGGACCAGTACTAGTTGAAACAAATCTGTAATATTAGTTCTTTCTCTACTTCAGATGTAATTGGATAATATATGTTATGGTTTTGTTTTTGGCTTTTTAGCTTCTCCGGTGCTTAGCAAAGAAGAGAGAGAGTTAGTCAGAAGAAAAGCATTAAAAAAAATACGGGTAAAATATGGTTTACAGGTAGGTTTTCAATAAGCTTGGAGTGCTCTGAAGTTTAAATGGGTTCTTTCAACTCACTTAGGCCTAGACTATGCAACAGAGTTCTTTTGGCACATTTTTTGAGTGTTTGTGCTCTCTCAAAGGCTAATCAGGACCTTCCACCCCCTCCCAGCAGAGTCGGGATTCTGTCACTGGCAGCTAATCATGTAGATGCTACCACAGTTCATTTGGCTGCTGACTGCTGCCAGAAGCTCTAGGAGCAGAGGCAGCTCAATATGGACTTACCTTTAAAAAGAGGTTATGATATTTTTACCATTGTGTTAATTTTTCCAAACTATCACACACAACTATTGTGATCAACTGAAATAGTCATACAGTAAACTCTCTGGTAACTGGCACCTTACAAGCCGACATGCTCTGTTAACCAGCATGCCGGCTTGTAAGGAAAAGTGAAACCGGAAGTGCCCACTGTGGCACTTCTGGTTTCTCTGAGCCCCCAAGGCCTGGGGGCATAACAGGCTGTGCGGGGCCTGCCTCCCTTTTCCACAGGGCCCACAGGAGGGGCAGCGATGCCACAGGAGGAACACCCCAGACAGCGGAAGAAGCAGCAGCTGGGGCCACTCAATTAACGGACATATTTTGTTATCCAGCATCCCCTGGGAATGTGGGATGCCGGATAACAGCTGTTACTGTATATAGAATCATAGAAAATTAGGGACCTCCGGAGATCATCTAGTCCAACCCCCTGCTCAAAGCAGGACCGTGCCTGACTAGATCATCCCAGCCAAGGTTTTGTCTAGCTAGGTCTTAAAAACCTCTGAGGATGGAGATGCTACAACCTCTCTGGGTAACCTGTTCTAGTGTTTTACTACCCTCCTAGTGAGAGTTGTTTTTCTAATATCTAACCTAAACTTCCCTTGCTGCAACTTGAGACCATTACTCCTTGTTCTGTCATCTGCCACCACTAAAAACAGTCCAGCTCCATCCTCTTGAACTCCTCCTCCTGCCCCCTCCCCCCCCCCCCCCCCCCCT